CATCACTAACAAACAACACACGGTGTAGAAAGCTTCAAAGGGTATCCACCTAGAGTCTTGCTGCACCTTTAGCCCAAAGTGAATGTATCTGCGGGGGTTGATGGAGTTGTTGGCAGCTAGTAGAGGTTGACTACACTTTTATGTTACTTATGGTAATAGACCGTGAATTTTAAATGGCTTGGTGAAGTGAAAATGGAGGTAAAATTGGAAGTAAATGAACCTTTCGGCAGAATCGGCAAGACATTATTGTCCCAGAACACGTGATGAGTATCTGTTGGATGCTCAGGATCACTTCATCAAAGGTTATAAAAGTACCTCTGCAAACATCCACAACAGATGCTGGCGTTCAAGGTGAACTCGATTCTAAAACACCCCGGGTGCCTGATTCTGTCTTCCAGAAGTGGAAGCAAACATTATGTTGAGCATATGGGAGTGAATATTATACCCAAAGCTGGAGACTCCTCCTCTCTTCCCGCTCCCTTAATAAACATGATATTCAAACTTTGCCCGATGCTCACTGAACCAGCTAAGTGCTTGACGGCTACATCAATGCATCTCCCAGTGCATGAATATACAGTCTGGATTCATGCCTGGAGTGTTTTACGCTTCTTCTTCTTCTTCTTCTGAGAAGCTTGATATCGCCGTAAGTACGGTCCGCTCTTTCGCTCTTTGAGCCGGGCAGGAAGTGAGTCACATACTCAAGGCGTTAAGATTTCTCCTCACAGCGGCTGAAGACAGACCGGGAGCTCAAATTCACCGTCACCGAAGCAGCCTTCGGTCTTGGACGCCAGATTCAAGCCGCCCAGATGTTGGCGACCCGCAACACCTCAAATAATCAAGACGCTGAGGGGCGAGAGCGCGGTCAAGAGGCAGGATTGACAATTATTTTTGGCATTTGTCTAACCTTTTCACGGGTAAAAATCAAGCAAGCGGCTGCGTTGACTACTTGAGCGGATGCTGTTGCAATCATCAGTGTCTCTGGGCGGTCAAAAGTTCAGTGCATCTTACACTGTGAGAAATGTTTTCTTGTATTCAATTTTAAATCTTCATTTGTTTCCTATAAACAACTGAATGGCATCTGTTGATGGGGAGGTATTGGACCTCATGCAAGAACATTTTTGTTTTTCTTATCTTAACTTTTTACTTTTTTTCGTTTGGTGGGCTTGTACCAGGAGGCAACCACTGGTTCAGCCGAGTGAAGCCAATGCAGAAGTGTCTTAAGATTTGCATTTTCTTCACTGACCAGAAGGGGGCGACTCCTCTGGTTGCAAAAAGAAGTCTGATTGTATAGAAGTCTATGAGAAAACTTCTCACTTGATTTATTAGCTCAGTAAACATGAGTTTATGATCTGAATCTCTAGTTTCAAGTCTTGTTTAATGCAGCATTTACTAAATGATGGTGGATAAGATAGACCATACAACTACAAGAGCCCTGTACGGCATCTCTACGTCACTCCTCCGCATTCCAAAAATGGTCACTTCCGTTTATCGGTTGCAAAAAACAACATGGTAATTTAGGTTGCAACGGCGAAATCACCAAACTCGAGGCTTAAAAACATCAGTCCACAAACCACGAATCACGATGACTACGTCCACTTCTTAAATACAGTCTATGGCTCGTACGAGTGAGCCACGTCAGATTCAGCATGATGAATGCTACCTGTGCATAAATGAGCATGTCTTCGTGATAATTGTAAATTAGCATAGTTAACGACCCAATTATACCATATAAGGCTACACTTCCTGCCAAATATGTCTGATATTGAAGTCCTGCTTTAGGAGATCCACAAAGGAAAGTCTGTGATGTTTAACAGCGTCAGCAGCAGAATTAAGTGACCCGCTGAAGCCAAGAGCCACAGCAAAGAGGCCGATGACTTCAACAGCTTTGGGTAAAATAATTAGAGATGTTCACATTGATATTGTAGTGTCCAATAGCATCAACATTCAATTCAAATAAATGGTGACAGTCAAGCTATATAAATAAATCTAGAATTATATTAGCCTTCAATTCAGATTGCAGAGTCAAACAGGAAAATGGGAACATAATTATTAAGAGCAATTCAAATAGAATTCTCAACTCAAAATAGCTCAAAGTAATGAAATATACAATCTATTAGGGAACTCTTAGGCTTGGCACTAATAGCCCATGACTCCTACTAAATTCTGGAAGATAAATACAATTTTAGAGCGAACTACAAGCATAAATGTCTTCTTAGGATGGCCGTTTTTTATCTCATCTACGTAAACTGTCTGCGTTAACTCCGACAAAGCAACAGACAAAAAAGCCTTCATGTAATTCTGTCCAAAAAGTAAGAGGGATTAAGTTCTTTAGGTTTGTTCTGCCTGATCACACAGGTTCAATGGGAGCCTCTCCTTCATGTTTTGAGAAAAAGGACTTTATTTAAATTACTTGAACAGCATGAATGAATGCAAAAAAGCACGAGTCGTTTTATTTCAGAGTCCAGTTGTTTTTTAAGGTGGGAGAGATTAAGCACAGTGGTGTCGGCACCAGACGGGCTTCTGCTTCACACCAATCCAGTATTACCATGGATACACAGCAAATCACGCAACCTTTTGGGAAATGTGTCAATGTCCAGGTGTGTAAAGACAGCGGAGCAGAAAAAGAGCCTCACCGTAGACACGAGTCCAGTGGTCTGTTTTTTTGCTGGCTTGCCTCTCTGAAGCATAGAATTCATAAGTGTATGTGTGTTAATGCCCGTCATTTTTAATCATAGCCTTATTTAACACTTAATGTGTTAAAGATCTTGGTTTTAATGTACAGACGTTTTGAAAAAAATGCAACAGGGCAGTAATTTCACAACAATGTGCAAGTATGTGATATGTGGAAAGAAAATATCTTATTTTTCTATTTTCGCTTATATCTTTCTTGAAGAAATAATAAATCAAAGGGGTAAACAGGTGCTTCAGTAACAACAATTCTCACACACTGCTGCTGAGAACTGTGGTTAAATTACCAGTAATGGGGCTGTCTCGTGGATATTGTTTAAACGGTATACTACCGTATTAAAATTAAAATTAAACATCAGCATACCATGTACATTTGCTTATTTGTGGTGTTGAAAATAACTGATATAAGTGTGTTTGAGTTAAAGCTACCGACAGGAACTGCAGTATCTGTTTTTTTGTTAATAATGAAAGGATATTTTAAAAGCTCACAGCTGATGTATTTTTCATTTCGTGGTTATTTACACATGCTAGGTCTTTCATCAGGTTTATAATTCGGTTTGTGATTAGTCATTTTCTCAGACTTCTATTCAACCAGACTTCTTTTTGCAAACAGAGGAGTCGCCCCCTGCAGGTCAGTAGAGAGAATGCAGGTTTTAAGACACTGGTTTTACTCTAGCTTCTGAGATTTGATCTCAACTTTTAAATAAAGGTTCAATACATATTTTTAAATGAATTTCGCGGTGATGCGAAGCATACCGATTTAATTTATTAACAGCAATATTCCTACTAGTGCAACTAAAAAAAACTCCATCCACACAGGAGTCGGTCGTCCGTCAGGAGCCTTCTCATGAATGTCAAAACCGAATCCTGTCATTCATTTTACAAATAAATCAAAAATATTGATGCCAATCTAGAAAGTTATTAACCAAAGAAATAGTGGAGACTGCACGTGAATGGGCTGACACACAGAACCATACCACCACAGAAGGATGGTGCCTATCGCAATGTGTAATATTGCGATCTGTATTTTTCTACTCCACAAATGTCTTTAAGGCAAACATTTAACAACAGGGGGCAGACAGGAAGCATAACTGTGTTTCTTCTTCTTCTTCTTTACTATTTTATGTTGTGGCGATCACAAAACATGCTACTATAGAGGGGCAGTCTGTCTAATCCGAGGCCTCACTGCTGTTGAAACGAAACAGTGAGTTTCCCACAGTACAGAGATAGTTTTACTGACGTGTGTACCTCTTCAATCTGTCAGGCAAAATGAATTCATTCCAATTAACAGCGGTTTTGCAGAGTGCCGCGGTAACAAGCTGAGACTCATGGAGGGAGACTCGCCCCTCGGTGACCCCTAATGAGCCAGCAGCCTCCTGCCGGAGGAAGCCCGAGCCGCTGCGCTTGTAATGAGCTGCTGTTTCTGCTACAGACCTTAAGATGAGCCATGGAGCTGTCATTCGCGCAGCAGAGTACGAGCAGCTCCGGACCACGATACGATTCTTTACCAACTTTAAGGGACAATGTGTGCCTTTGGTGACGTGTTGCTGTTACAATTCAGCGTTCATGCGGGGAAATCATTTATTTTTATATGTTTTTATATTGTAGATATTGCAATTTAGACAGAAGCAGTTTACAGTTAAGCTCTAAAGGGGTGAAGGTAAAGAGTTGCACCTAATGAACATATTTGTGTTTCTTTCTTAACAGACTAAATAAGTAAATGTTTAGTTGAAGAAGCATTCCATTTAAAAGAGAGAGGACGCTCATAAGGTCTGACAGACCGAGGCGACGTTCTAAAATAGCTTTCTTTGTCTAATCAACAGACCAATTAAATTTATAATGACACATTAAACAGAGAAAAGCAGCAAATCCTCACATTTGTGTAGTGCTTTTTTTTTTAAACTGTTGGATAATTCAGTAGTTCACCAAATATAAACACGTCCTTTTAGTAACATCATACTAATACTGCACAAAGTTATATTATAGTTTTACAATGTGACCTGATATGAAAAGTGTTTATTTGGCTGACAAAGATTACATTCAGATAAACAGCCTCCAGTGGTTTATATGTCATCAGTGGAGCTACAGTCTACTTGGAGGCAGTAAGGTCTGGACTCGTTACTCTGGAGTTTGTCTAGTGGCTGCTGGGTTGGATAGAAACCGGATGCATGCTCTCGGAGTTTGACTTATTACATTTTTTAAAGTTTTTTTTAGGGATCCACCTCGGTGACACACACCGCGGTGCCGGATGAGAACCAGGAGCGCGCGCGTGCTGAGTACAGTTATCGGTCTCAACCACGTGGCCTCCTTACCTGCAAGTCCTTCGGCAACCGTCACCTCGGCTCACTGACGACTACATCACAGGATCAGCGCATCGGCACTCACCTCCACACTGCAGGAGGAGGAGGAGGAGGAGGAGGAGGGGGAGTCCAAACCCAAACGCAGGTGTCAGCGGGGGATACGTGAAGAAGTGGGCTGCGTTCTGTCCGTTTGTCTCCCACCGGTTGGATTGATTCGGACACCGGGGAGCTCCGCGATCTCGATAGACGGAGCAAAGGCACCGCTGGAAATGTCTGCAGCGGCTGATGCACGATTTGTTTCCCCCCCTCTCTCTTTTTCTCTCTCTCTCTGTCTCTCTCTCTTTTTCTCTCTCTCTGTCTCTCTCTCGCGCGCTTAGATTTCCTCTGCGTCTTCACCTCTCACAGAAGACAAACTTTGAGAATCGCACGGGGGCATTTCTAGCCGAAGATTCGCTGCCACATCCCCGCAGACAGTACCGCGCGACTGTTGATGCTGCGCTCCGGTCTGCTCGCTCTCTCTCTCTCTCTCCTCTGCTCCTACCGGCAGCGGACGGGCAGGAGGGCGGTGCGAGCGGGTGCGTGCGCTCCAGCGGTGCATGCGTGGCACGGACGGTTCAGGTCCCTGGATTCACCTGTCATCACAAGACGGAGTGCATCCTATTTAAAATACAACCGAAGGATAAGGCCCCTTCAAAGGCTGCAAAACCCAGGGGCGCAGATAAGATTTTAGGAGAACCCGAGCCCCCCCCCAGATCTGGGAGGAGATTAAAGGAAGAGAATAATAGCTTAGACACCCTGTAGATATTGCAGATTTCTCTGAGTCTGGAGGAAGTCACCGACACATTCTATAAAGTTGGAAGATTGCTGCCCAAACTTTTCATGTCAAAAAAAA